TGAAACAGATCACCAGTCCAGGTTGGATGCATGAGACAAGTGCTCAGGGCTGGTGCACTGGGAATACCCAGAGGGATGGGATTTGGAGGGAGGTGGGAGGGGGGATCGGGATGGGGAACACATGTAAATCCATGGCTGATTCATGTCAATGTATGGCAAAAACCACTACAATATTGTAAAGTAATTAGCCACCAACTAATAAAAATAAATGAAAAAAAAAATAGGTGTTTACAGCTGTAAATTTCCCCCAGAGCACTATTTTCATACATTCCATAAGTTTTGGGAAAAAAAAAGTTTAGCAATAAATTAATTCTATTAAATAAGATTAATAAAATGGAAAATAAAAATCAAATCTCAAGAGATGTAGAAAAGAATTTGAGAAAATACAACATCCTTTCATCATAAGAAATTTTCAACAAATTATTTATAGAGGAAATATGTTATTCAGTCACTAAGTTGTGTCTGCATCTTTTTTTCTTTAAATCTTTTATTGGAATACAGTTGTTTTATAATGTTGTACTGAGAATTATTTTTTAATTTTAAAAATACCAAAATTCAAAGAAGCTGTGTTTGGCCCGTGCCTAGGCTTCCTGACTTAACTGTATTGCTAGACCAGAAGGATGCTGCATGGCTAAGCCCACTGCTGAATGCTTTTAAATGATCACAGGGGCTGTATTTATAGTCACAACTTGAAGATAGCCCCTACCCAAGAACTAACCCAAACTAGGATTCGATATCTTCCAATATGACAGATCCCTTGCTTTGTAAAATATGTATTATATTCCACTGACACCGTTAAAGGAGCACTTATCATTGGATACATGAACGGTGAGGCTTGTTATGAAGGAGGAATTCAAGGGGGAGGATTATCCTGACCAGAGGTAATTTGTGTGATCATTGAACAGGTTGTCCAAGAAGCCCTGGACAAAGCCCGAGAAGGCCGCACCTGCATCGTGATCGCTCACCGCCTGTCCACCATCCAGAACGCAGACATGATCGTGGTGTTTCAGAACGGCAGAATCAAGGAGCACGGCACGCACCAGCAGCTGCTGGCACAGAAAGGCATCTATTTCACCATGGTCAGCGTCCAGGCCGGAACGAAGCGCTAGTGAGCCGTGACCGTGTAAGCTGTTAAATAGTGTCTTATAGTATTTGTGTTAAAGTGTGGCATCTAATCAAAATTAAAAAGCAAACACTTACCAGAGAAACTATGTAGAGTTACTTATTCAACATTTCCTGCCGCAGTGGAAGATCCATCCGACTCTGGGTCTTCAGAGACTTTATAATTGAAAGAACAGAAAGAAGCATCATCGACGGGCATAAAACAATGGGTTTGATGGCATTATAAAGGTTATAGAATCATTCAAAGTAGATTTTGTTAATAAAGTGTATAAATTTTTGTTTATATTTTCTTATTCGGACTGTAACTGACGACCAAAAAGATTATAGAAGTAGCAAAAAGTACTGAATGTTTGCATATAGTGCCTATAATAAAAGTAAACTTTTATATGACTGGAGTCATCTTGTCTGAAGTGCCTGTAAATCTGTCAGTCTCTCACTTGGACTATTGAAGATCATTTCTGCACTTAAACAAAAGGAATTCTTTAAAAACTCCCATTAATTTTGTAAGAATGGTTAAACCGTGTATTAATTCCTGTTGTACATGTCTTTTCACATTGGGTTCTACAAAGCCATATGGCTTTGTTCTTCTTGAACTTGATCCTGCTGATTCTTGTATTTCCACATTATGCTGACTCTCAGACTAGTCACATAGATCAGTACAGGATTGTAGGGGCTGAAATGGGGCAGAGGATGGACAGCTGTGAAGCATATACTGTCATGTATGTTGACTGTTGCATTGTTCTTATAAAGGGCTTTTACAGAATTTTCATCTTTTTGTACTTTTGAAAAATATTTGTATGTATTTGGCTGCGCTGGGTCTCAGTTGCAGCATATGGGATCTTTGATCTTCACTGCAGCATGTGGGATCTCTGTTCACGGCATTCACACTCTTAGTTAAGGCATGTGGGATCCAGTTCTCAGACCAGGGATCAAACCCTGGGAGTTTGTCTTGGGAGCACGGAGTCTTAGCCACTGGACCACCAAGAAGTTCCTTTTTGCACTTTGAACAATAAAATTCTTCTTCTGTTTTGATATTGAATCACTTTTCCCTGTAAACTGATCTCTTCCAAATTGATCCTTCTGGTGGCAGATGATTAAAATGTGCCATAAGTTTAAATACAATCAGGAAATGGTGCTCTGACTACGAAAAGACAAGCCAAAAAGCACTATAAACATGACTGAAAGGCACAAGCTGGGAGCAATATTTGCCGTATTTATTATGAACGATTGGTATCCTGAAAACACGAAGAATTTTAAAAGGAACAAAAATGCCATCACCTCCAAGGAAAAATGGAAAGAGAACATGGTCCAGAAATTCCCAAGGAAGAAATGCAGGAGAAAGAAAGTGCACTGTCTCAAAGAAATGCAGATTAAAACAACAAACCCTTGGACAGTGACATCAGCCTAGTGGCAGAATAAGACATCTTTGTTTTGCCCTCAGCGAGAGTAGTTTGGCATTGAACCACGAACAGAAGCACCGTCTGGGAGCTGTGGCCTCCAGCGCCCTGTGCCAGGGGGACCTGAGAGGAGTCCTGCTTCCCCACAAGGCGACTAACAGGGACACAGACTTGGGCTCTGGCTGGACCCTGAAATAGCCCGTGAACTGGCGCGAGCAGCCCGCACCCCCCTCCCCAGCCTTGGTCCAGTAGCCCCTGGAAAACCCTGTCTAAAACAGTCACCCACAGACCAGAGAGCCTTTGAGAAGTCCGGGCTTCCAGAAGAGAAGTCTCAGCCCACCTTTGGAGCCCGAAACTGTGAGTTTGGATGCGCTGAGAGCGCGCGAGGTGCAGCTTCCCTTGACTTGCACCACCCCGCCCCCAGAGGACACAGCTCAGGGCCAGAGAGATCTCATCCTGCACTTGCTCTCGGGGCAAGTGAGAGCTGGTGGGTGACACGTGGCTTCCCAGTCCATGCGGGAGGCTGCCACAAAAGCTCATTTGTCTCTCCCCACATCCAGAGTCCTGAAACGTGGACTGCATGACTGGGAGGCAGGGAGAGGTGGAGATGGCAGGTAGCCCCCTCAGAGGGCATCGAAGGCACAGGGGTCCAGCTGACCGCACTCAAGAGGCTTGTCCTCAGGCTGCAGGGATGCCTCTCCTGCGGTGCTCAGCATATGCTGCGCTGTGCTTAGTCAGTCGTGCCCTACTCATTGCAACCCCATGGGCTGTAGCCTGCCAGGCTCTTATGTTCATGGGATTCTCCCGGGAAGAATTCTGGAGTGGGTTGCCATTTCCTCCTCCAGGGGATCTTCTTGACCCAAGGATCAAACCCAGGTCTCCTGCATTGCAGGCGGATTCTTTACCCTCTTAGCCATAAGTGCTCAGGATACCTCACCCACAAATAGCCCCTGACCCTGTGGCCAGCCCCCTGCGTGCTCCCGACAGCAGTGGCAAGAACAGGATCTGGCTGGCTGATGACTGGTGAGCACACACAGATGGCTGAGCCAAATGTACCGGCTAGGGAGAAACCGCAAACTTGAGCTTTAGTGCCGCCTTTGGCAAAACAGGAGGACGACAGCCAGTACTTGGTCGGCTGCCCTGCTGATCAAGAGAAAGCAAATAAGCCTAAGGGTTCTGCCACAAGAGGGAGCAAGAAATGTGGATGAGGTGTAATCAGAGGAAGTCAGAAAGCCTCAGAATCACTGGCAGGGCTGATGGAAGATACTTCTCTCCTGAACCAGGTAATAAAGACAGGAGAAGGTGAATATTACTTCAGATGGGAAGAGTGCAATGCAAACTTCAAGGGACATGAAAAATCAAGAAAACATGATACCACCAAAGGGTGACAATGTTGACAAAACTTTAGCTAGAAATAAAAACAGAGGAGTGAAATAAATTGGAAATGAAAGAGGAGAAATTACAGCTGATACCACAGAAATAGAAAGCTTCATAAGAGATTACTATCAACAGTTATACACCAACAAGTTTAATAACCTTAGGATAAACTGATAAATTCTTAGAAACATACACCTTATCAAGACTGAATCAGAAATCGAAAATCTGAATAGACCAATAATGAGTAAAGAGACTAAGTCAGTAAACCAAAACCTCCCAACAAAGAATGGCTCGGAACCAGATGGCTTCTTTGGTGAATTCTACCAAACATTTAAAGAATAACACCAATCTTTCTCAAACTCTTTCAAAAAATGGAGGAGGAGGGAACACTTCCAAAGTCATTTTACGAGGCCAGCATTGTCTTGATTAAAAAGTCAAAAACATTACAAGAAAACTACAGATGAATATGTGTGATCAATATAGGTGCAAAAATTCTTGACAGAATACTTGCAAACTGAATTTAACAGCACATTATAGGGATCATACAGCATGATCAAGGGGGTTTATCCCTAGAATTCAAGGATAGTTCAACATAGGCAAATCAATAGTTTAGTAATAAATTAATTCTATTAAATAAGATTAATAAAATGGAAAATAAAAACCAGATAATCTTAAGAGATGAAGAAAAGAATTTGAGAAAATACATCCTTTCATAATAAAAAAGTTCAAGAAGTTGTTTATAGACGGAATATGTTGTTCAGTCACTAAGTTGTGTCTGAGTCTGCGACCCCATAGACTGTAGCCTGCCAGGCTCCTCTGTCCATGGGATTTTCCAGGCAAGAATACTGGAATGGGTTGCCATTTCCTCCTCCAGGGCATCTTCCTGAGCCATGGATTGAACCTGCATCTCCCATGTCTCCTGCATTCCAGGCAGATTCTTTACTACTGCGCCACCAGGGAAGCCATAGAGGGAATATACCTTAACAGAATAAAGGCCGTATGTCGTAAGCCTACAGCTAACATCATACTCATTGGTGAAAGATTGAAAGCTTTTTCTCTAAGATCAGGAACGAGATAAGAGTCACCACCCTTGACTCCTAGTCAACAGTACTGGGCATTCTAATCAGAGTAATCTGGCAAGAAAATAAATAAAAGGCATCCACATCAGAAAGGAAGAAGTTAGATTGTCTTTGCAGATGATATGATAGTATACACATCTAGAAAACCCTAAGGATTCTACCAGAAAATGTCTTTGTCTCCCTGGCTTCTTTACGTAGCATAATGCCCTCCAGGTTCATCTGTGTTGCCACAAATGGCAGGATTTCCTTCTTATGACTGAACAATATTCCACTGTAAGTATTTACTGTGTTTTCTTTATCCAGTCGTCCTTTGATGGATACTTATGTTGTCTGTATATTTTGGCTATGGTGAGTAATGTGACAGTAAACATGCAGTGCTGATTTTGTTTCTTTCAGGTACACACCCAGAAGTGGAACTGCTGTATCATGTGGTAGTTCTAGTTTTGATTAAAAATGTTTCTTTGGCTGTCCTGGGTCTTCGTTGTGGCATGCAGGCTCTTTGTCGTGATGCTCAGGCTTTCTCTAGTTGTGGTGCACCGGCTGAGTTGCCCCGAGGCATGTGGGATCTCTGTTCCTCGACCAGGATCGAAACCACGTCCCTTGCATTGGAAGGTGGATTCTTAACCACCATTTTTATATCTTTGAGAAACCTTCACACTGTTTTCCCTAATTTTAAGCCACCAAAGTTGTGTTAATTGGTTACAGTAGCATTGAGAAACTAATAGAAACCTCAGATCAGGGAAGCTAAACATGATGCTTTTATTTTATTTTACTTTTTAAAAAGAAGGGTAATGAGGCTCTGAGTTGGGCTAGTGAGAAGAGAGAAGAACCAGTGGCTATGAGAAATATCCAGAGTCTAGACATGAATGGTGGGAAGAGGGGAAGAAACTGGCTAGGAAAACGCTGTGACACGGATGGAGACAGTTTGTTTGTATGGCTTGAAGGTGACATCATAGTAGAAGGTTTTTTAAAGTGTGGCCCCTGGTTACTAACTAAACACAGATGGGTCCCACTGTGTGCTGTTTGCTTGAAATCGGCTGTTTTATTTTCTTGGTTCCATCCTGGGATTACCCAGCTCTGTCCAACTTTAAACAATGATGATGATTTTTTTGTTCACCAGAATGAACTGAATTTAGGCCAAAATGTGTTTCTGTTTCCTGATGCACACAGCAGCCATTTGTTCCCAGGTCTCAGTAAGAAGAAGTGTTTTTGATTCCTTTTTCTTACTCACATCTTCATTTCAGATACCTGCTTCTGGTTTATGAACCTTTTTAGGAAAGGATTGTGTCTTTGCATCATTTTGTTCTTTCATCTGACAGTGTCCTTAGTATATACTCAGTAAGGTTCAGTAAGTGTCTGGTCTTCTGCTAATTTTTTTTAAAATCCAGTATGTACCTTCCTATCTGTTAGTTTTGTTTTATCAAAAATTAAGATCTGAAAAAATTTAAGACTACATTGAGTAGTCTTATGTAGTAAGGCCATATAATTTTACATAAAAAATAAGGAGGGAAGCCCATCGTTACTATAAGACCTGTGACCCAGCTTTACCTACTTTACCAAATAAAGGGGGAAGCCTTTTAGGACTTGTGTCCATAATTTTGTAAAAGAAAAAGTATCTTTATGAAGTGAGAGTAACCCCATAACAGTATGATAGCAATATCACCGTCCTGGGTTTGATTTTATGTTCTCCAGGGGATCTTCCTGACCCAGGGGTTGAACCTGGCTCTTCTGCATTGCGAGCAGATTCTTTATTTCTGGGCCAGGGAGGCCCTGTTGGAGTCGTTACCTGCTGTCATTTAGGAGGCTGGATGAGGGGTACACGGGACTCTACAGAGTCTGCAACGTGCTGTGGGTCTATGATTATTTAACAACAGAACGTTAAAGATAGAATCGTATGGTGAAACTTAAAGATCTGCTGCTCTTCAAGTGCTCATTATGTGGGCTAAAATGAAAAATGAGTTACGCAAGAAGTGGTGTGAGTGGAGGACAGGCCCTGGGGATGAAGGGCCAGCATTTCAGGTGGAGGAATTCCTGCCTCTACTCTCAGTTCAGTAGAGCCTTTCAGCCTCTGCTTAAAAGCATTTGAAGTACACCTGGGGGTTTCCCATGTGGCTCAGTGGTAAAGAACCTGCCTGCCAATGCAGGAGATGTGGGTTCGATTCCTGGGTCAGGAAGGTCCTCTGGAGGAGAAGATGAAATACACATGGAAGGATGTTGTGGTTGGAGCTGGCTGAGCAAGGCAGAGAGTGCATGAAGGCAGGAAGCACTGGCCTGCTTCCCCTGGGAGCCCTGTGACAAAATGGAGCTTGGGAGTGCTGTAAGCTGAGGATCAGAGCTTGAACTACGACTGCCTTTCCCTCTCAGCACCTAGCCAGTGTGCCGTAGGAAGCAGCCCGAGATACGTAGGCGGGCCACGTGACTGGACTCAGCAGGGCCCAGCCGTTATCAAGTGGCAGCCGCCTGAGGGGGTACCACAGACTTCAACCCATTCAAGCCTTTAGATGACTAGCCCCCGCTAGCACCCAACTGCATCCTCGTGAGACGAGACCCACCCGCCATGCCCAGTCAATCCACAGAACCTTGAGTCATAGAAACCCAGTATTTTAAGCCAGTTGATCGCTAGAGCGAGGAAGAGCCCTCTGACTTGGAAAGCCTGTAAAGGACTTTCACTTACTTGAACTCTTGAAAACTTCAAAAGTATCCTGTAGGCTGTAACAACACTCCAGTCAGCATCTTGCACACTGGAAGTCCTCACTAAGAATATCTGTTAAGTGAAAACAGCAAAAGATCTGTTGATCTTAGGAAAGAGATTAGACAGGAGATTTTCAGGAGCACCATCTGTAACTGTAGTCCTTTGTCCTACTTGGAACTTATAACACCAAGGTCAAAGACCTCTCCTCTTGGCGCTGGGAGGAATCAGGATAGCAAAGAGAAAAGCAGGAATGCTTACTGATGTGTGCAAGAGGCAAAGATACATGATGAAATGTTTTCACCAGGACTCTTTCAAAAGAGCCAATTTTGGTCATAAGGAAAAGTGACCTTTGAATTGGAAATGGAACATTTTTGCTTTCTGTACTAGGCAGCTCAATTTAAATGTTTTCCCTCTTATTGATTGTCGGTTGTTCTGTGGAGAAGCATCAAGGTTCTCCAGCCAAAAACCCTGGGTTTCTCTCCTGGCTGGCTGTTTGTTACATATGTCATTCTTTGGGCAAGTTACTGATGGTCTCTAAGTCTTTATTTCCTCATTGGGCCTTATGGAATTTCAATAGCTACNGTGGAAAAGCATCAAGGTTCTCCAGCCAAAAACCCTGGGTTTCTCTCCTGGCTGGCTGTTTGTTACATATGTCATTCTTTGGGCAAGTTACTGATGGTCTCTAAGTCTTTATTTCCTCATTGGGCCTTATGGAATTTCAATAGCTACTTCACTGGCTTACTTGAACACTAGATATTATAATATTTCGGACAATGCTTATCAGATAGAATATCCCAAAAACAACAATAATAATAATGTTGGTTTCCTTCACTTCATGCTCTTCAAGGCCACCTGTTCTCTTGCATGAAATGAAA